TAATGTGCTGATTGATATGGGTTGCCTTTAAAAAAAATTAAGTTACTCTTAGCTGGGTAACTTCTAAGTAACTCTTAGTTACTGTTTGTGGGTGGGGGGTGAATTTCAAAATATCACCAAAAAGAACCTTACATCACCCTAGAAACGTGTATTGAAGCTTGTTTGAATTTATGCATATTTGTGCTGAGACATTATTTAGCAGGTTAACCCGTTGTTCCTTATTTTTACCATTTGCTAGGATTTTTTTCCAATCCCGTGGGATCTAGATTTTGGACCTCTCAATAAAAACGTTTCTCCAAATCCCCTTCTCTCTTTCAATGTTTTTAATAGATACATCTAAATAGGTATCCGTAATAAAGTATATCCTGCTGAATTTCGGAAAACGGCTGAAGGCAATCTGTGCTAGTTCACCAGAGGTTTCTGGAATATTAGGAAGAACCTAAAAGTAAGCCATACCGTTAATTGCATACATACATTCTTCAATCTTGGAAGGTTCGTCTGCTATGTACCCTTGTTCTCCAAAGCATGGAGCAGTTTGGCCTTTTCTGTTTTTGTTGAGCATCCATCGGTAATGGCTAATGCCCATGGTCCTGGATCTAATGGGTATGTCATCAGCTTCTCAAGGTTAATATCACGTTCCTGGGACAGCAGTAAAACTTCAGAAAAATATTTCTTTTAGCTCTTATCTCAACTAATCTGTTTGCATGCAGCTTTCCCTAGATTATCTACATTGAGTAAATTGTCTTCCACCGATTCGGGTACAGGTCTTCCAGCTGATAAATAGACCATCTAGGAATTCTGATCACAGTTTTCAACTTCAAGCAGAATAATGCATTGTTCAAAAACATAAAGTACAGTACTTGCAAAATACTTTGCTCACTTCGTTTTATTTCATTTGCTTGCATGTCACTGAGAGAACAATCTGATGACTTCACCATACTTGCATTTTCAAATTCTAACTAGCTGTGGGCCCGTCCTACGCACAGGAATCAACTAATCAAATCAAATCAAACTAAAAAATCTATACTAAAGGACCCATGCTGCACTGTAGCGTTAAAATAAATATCATATCCGATAAATAATCAAACTTTTGATTTTTGATTGTGTAATATAGTATCTTAAACTTAACTGATTCAAACTATCAATAGCTCAATTTAAAGCCTATAATTGACTGATTATTTAGAGTCTAAATCATATAAAAAACATAAACAATACTGGAGCTATTGATATTCAATCATAGAAAAACCATTTATAATTTATTTTTTTATGTTGGATGTTCACCTTCAGTTTGCTTGAAACCCGTCCGATTTGAATAACTAATATCTTAAATGCAAACCGGTATTTCACTGAAGGTTCTTAGACCAAAATATATAGGGTTATACAATTGTAAATGGTAAAATACCGTACAATTTAAATTGAAATACAAATTAAAAAATATATCAAATCTATGTTTTTGGTCGAGTAATAAAGTAGATAAATATACGATGATGCTTGATGTGAAATATATGCGTGCATACTACCAATTTAAGACCTCAATCGTGAAGATCGGACGTGTAGAAAAGCCAAAAAAACTCGGAAAAGAAAAAAACAAATTTAACTTCGTTTAGAAATGCATGGGGGGGAAATTTTATTTACGTATAAGCCGAGGTGGGACTGTTGATAAATATATACTGATGCTTGATGTGAAATCTGTGCGTGCATAATTTCAATTTGAGACCTCAATAATGAAAATCGGGTGGGTAGAAGCGCCAAACGAACTCGGAAAAGAAAAACCAAATTTAACTCCCATAAGAAATACATGGGAAAAAATGTTGTTTACGTATAAGCCGAGTGGGACTGTAGGCAACTATATGCCGATGCTTGATGTGAAATCTGTGCGTTAATACCTTCAATTTGAGACCTCAATCATGAAAATCGGTCGTATTGAAGAGCTAAACGAACTCGCTAAAGAAAAACCATTTTTAAAAATATATATATTAATGATATTTTCGTGTTTTCCGGAACATGCTGTAATTCACAAGTGGCAAACACCTAAAACCTTAAAGTACATGTCAATACGAGCAAAAAAATGTATATTTCAAAAATTCCCACGGGGGGGGAGGGGGGGTATAGACCAGCCTCCGCTCTATGTTGTTTTAGTGCAAAGGGCTTTTAGGGGATTATTTAACAAAGCTCCACCTCACAGAAATAACATTACGCGTTGGAGTAAACAATTCGTAGAAACTGGATCGGTACAAAAACGGAAGACTTCTGGGAGACCGCCTGTATCAGAGGTAACAATTCAAAACGTTAGCGAATCTTGTCTTAGAAGTCCAAAAAAATCTCTTCCACGTCGGAGTCTGGAGCTTGGAATCCCAGTGACAACTCTGCATAAAATTTTGCATAAAAGGCTGCATTTTCATGCGTATAAAATTCAACTGTTGCATGGTATCAAACCGAATGATAAAAATAAACGTGTGGAGTATGCAACTTACATCTTAAATCAGATTGAAGAAAATGAATAATTTTTAAATGATGTTATGTTTTCAGATGAAGCAACTTTTCATGTTAATGGGTGTGTTAATAGACACAACGTTCGAATTTGGGGTTTTCAACGTCCTCATGAGATCATCGAAAAAATCCGAGACACACCAAAAGTAAACGTCTGGTGTGGACTGACTAAAAACCAAGTAATTGGACCTTTTTTCTTTGCCGAGAAAAGTGTTAATGGTAATGTGTACCTGGATATGCTAGAAAATTTTTGTTTTCCTCAAATTGACGAGTTTTATAATGTCAATATGATGTATTTTCAACAAGATGGAGCACCAGCCCATTATAAGGACTTTGTTCGTGTTGCTTTGAATAACAAGTTTGAACAAAGATGGATAGGTCGCGGTGGCCCAATAGCATGGCCTCCTAGAAGCCCGGATTTGACTCCATGCGATTTTTTCCTGTGGGGATACGTAAAAAACATCGTATATTCTCAGAAAATCCGTGATGTTGCTCATTTAAAGGAAAGGATTTATTAGGCAGTATCATCGGTTACAAGAGACATGCTGCACAGCGTATGGGCCGAGATCGACCATAGATTAGATGTCTGCAGAGCTATCGGTGGTGGACACATTGAAATGTAAAATGCATCAGTATATAAAACTGTTTTTAATGGAGATTCTAATGAAATAAATATTTTTAATGTACTTTATATAGTTTTCTTTTAATTTAAAGTTAAAATTGCACCATTCATTTATAAAAACCCTGTATTATGTTTTTTAATAATAGGTGAATAACTTTTAAATTTTTGTAAAAATTACTTATTGATAAACACCTCTTTTTGCAAAAGTTTTCACATAATATTTGTAAAGAAAAATAAAAAAAACTCTTTACTTGTTACTTCATTTCATCAATCAAAATCACCTCACACCTTTATGTAATGCAATTTGGCTATTCCATACAGGTGTGAGTATAACAAAAAGTTGCCCCCTGGTGGGGTTTTAATGAATTTAATTTACACTTTTAATTGAACTACTGAGGACATTACAATCACAGAGCTGCGCAGTGGAAATAAAGATGTTAAGTGTGGGCCCTGTAATTAAATATCCCAGAAGTCCGATTTATGGACCGTGAGAGGTCTGATATGTTGTCCTCCTTCACACCTTCTTCAGCTTAATTCTAACACTTCTTAAAACTAATAGATGTGTCTATTTGATCACTCCATGAAATAAAATGTGCTGTTCTGATGAAAGATTGTGATATGAATTGATACTCTGTAAAACTGTAAAATTGCAAATAATAATATTGAAATATTGATTGAAAATATTTGTGAAACTGTTTGTTCAGGAAATATTTATCAAAAGTATGACTTCAAGATGTTTATATATACTGGATTCGGTTAAGCCGATTACTCATGAATTCACCAATTTAATATTAAATATTATGAACTGAGCTTATAAAAATTGCACTGTCAAAATATATTTACAAAATGTGATCATCAACACTCATTGTGAATACTTTGTATACCTCTTTCAGTTAAGCCATTTACCTCTTTACTTTACCAGTTTTATACTAATGATACTAACAGCTGAAACACAGGATAATGAAAAGATGGTGATTTGTAAAAATACTGTATAATGAGTTGAATTGAGCTGTGATACAAGTAACAAATATAAACAATATAATAACCTTTTTGTGCATAATTTAACGATATTTTGTAAGAGAGAGTGAGAGAGTTGATTGCAAGATTGAATGTTCAAATTGGCGGTTTGTTCATTTTTAAAACTGCAAAGTCTCGGGAAAACCTAGCCTTGATGATTTTATTTATTTGTTTTGGATCACCAGACTCCCCAAAGATGTTCGTAACGATCAAACTGGCCAGTTTACAATTTAATCAAACAGGGACTATTATGTAGGTTTGTGATCTACATCACTCCTTGCTGATCAGTGCAACGGGGCCAATCGACTGCTGAGTCGATTATTTGATAATTTTTTATTTAGTATTTAATATTTATGAATTTAATGGGAGTCTATCCTCATGACCTTTTATCAACCCTAGCCTTCGACCGAGCACTCTGTTACCCCCATTTACGTTACACAATCAAACTCTCACTATTTAAAAATGTAATACTGTTCAAAAATTATTCTACACATGAAATACAAACGTTTTAAACAATAATACTGATGATGATAGAATCTGACTTTACATAGAATACAAAAATAATAATATCACAGACAAACATTGCTCTTTAAATTAATATACCATTTCAATTCAATTTAATAAATAATTTTCATTTGACTAGGTTTACTATTATAACTTAAATTCTTTGTATGACATGGCCAAATTTAATAAAACATTTTATCCTGAATCGTGACCATGTGCTCTAAGTAGACCAAATGAAACATGAAAATCTCAGACCAAACCAAACATGATTCATAACTTGTAAAACGAGTGGTACATGTGAAAAAATGTAGCAGATTGGCAAGACTATTTTAATACTAAAACACAAATAACACAAACATTTACTTACGTACACATGTCGACACATACACATTCATTCCAACGAAGATTCACGCGTACCGAACATTTAAAAACTGACTCGTGGTAATTTTGACTTTTTGTCTGACCGAGCGGAATATCACGACACGGTTTTTTCTGGTGTAGGACTTATTAATTCTTGTTTTTTCGAGCTGGCGTTTAATGATTCAATTGAAAATACCTTCACGACGACCCGCTGTTCGCTAGAAACTGACATTTGCTATCGATATGATGCATGTACGAATTTTCATCACGAACGCGAACAATCAATCCGGAATCTCAACTGTCTCGACTTAATACTAATAAAACACACCCCCAAATGCAATTCGGCGAAATTTTGACAATTGCGATCGTTTGATGCACGTACAATTTCCGCCCGAACGCTAATTTCCGAGCTACGAATTAAGATATTAATAAATTCGTCCTACACCAGCGACAAAACGCGACTTCACATGTTGACTACGCGATTACTGAGCCACGAGTGACGACGAGACGTTTGCACACGGCACGGCTCCCAACGGTCTTCCAGTTCGTATCCTTCCGCGTTACGTCATGTTGGACTGACTTGTCCATTGCCTGGCGCGGATTTTAAATCTTTGAATTTAAAAATCGGCACAGAAATCTCCCCTGCCAAAAAAAATTGGCCCGAGCGACCTTCAGGTCCGCACGAAGGCCTTTTCCATCCCGGGACAATTTCGACCCGGCGCGACGACGCTTGACGTGGCAACAGACGCTTCATTCATACGACACATTTTTTTTGTTGATTTTTTTTTCCATTGATTTACATTTAATACATTTAACACGAAACAGTTTTACACATAAACATTTGAAATTTGAATAACAAAAATAGAAAATCTGAAACTTTAACAATAATAAAAATTTTGCTTTGAGGTCGGTACTGAGAAATTAAAAATTGTTGTCAACTAACACCTTGTGTCATAAACCAAAACTGCATCAATCCATCAACAATTTGAATGGTGTAAACGCGCACGCTTAACACACCGTAGAATTATCTAGCATTCAGCGTTGAGTAGATGTCAACAATCAGTTCATTGACCCGTAGCGCAGTCGACAGTCAGCTGTTGCCGATGGAGTGGGCGGGGGCGGGGGACATTGTTGTGGTGAACGGCCCGATGTCTGCCTGTCTGTGCGGGTAGGTTCTACTCTCGCCCCACCACAGCTAGAACGTGACCTCTGTTGGCCAGCCTTCATGTCGCTCACAGTGGTTACATAATATGACTCATAATGATTCATTGTTTCTCAAAATATGTAATTATGAAAATGTGTAAAACAATTGACCTCAGTTTGACTCTATTTACCCAAAATTGAAAACTATTGCACATGTAAATATAAATGTAAATATAAATAATCTCTGTACGAATATGACACAAATAAATAAACAAGTAAACAAACACAGAAATATCAATGTGGATAATTGCCTTAGAGATAACAACTGATACCCTTATCAATGCCAACCTGCCTTGGTAGTAATGCCAATCTGCTTCCTTGTTACCAGACCTCTCAAATTAGTGCTATCACTTTTTGTAAAGAAAAATAAAAAAAACTCTTTACTTGTTACTTCATTTCATCAATCAAAATCACCTCACACCTTTATGTAATGCAATTTGGCTATTCCATACAGGTGTGAGTATAACAAAAAGTTGCCCCCTGGTGGGGTTTTAATGAATTTAATTTACACTTTTAATTGAACTACTGAGGACATTACAATCACAGAGCTGCGCAGTGGAAATAAAGATGTTAAGTGTGGGCCCTGTAATTAAATATCCCAGAAGTCCGATTTATGGACCGTGAGAGGTCTGATATGTTGTCCTCCTTCACACCTTCTTCAGCTTAATTCTAACACTTCTTAAAACTAATAGATGTGTCTATTTGATCACTCCATGAAATAAAATGTGCTGTTCTGATGAAAGATTGTGATATGAATTGATACTCTGTAAAACTGTAAAATTGCAAATAATAATATTGAAATATTGATTGAAAATATTTGTGAAACTGTTTGTTCAGGAAATATTTATCAAAAGTATGACTTCAAGATGTTTATATATACTGGATTCGGTTAAGCCGATTACTCATGAATTCACCAATTTAATATTAAATATTATGAACTGAGCTTATAAAAATTGCACTGTCAAAATATATTTACAAAATGTGATCATCAACACTCATTGTGAATACTTTGTATACCTCTTTCAGTTAAGCCATTTACCTCTTTACTTTACCAGTTTTATACTAATGATACTAACAGCTGAAACACAGGATAATGAAAAGATGGTGATTTGTAAAAATACTGTATAATGAGTTGAATTGAGCTGTGATACAAGTAACAAATATAAACAATATAATAACCTTTTTGTGCATAATTTAACGATATTTTGTAAGAGAGAGTGAGAGAGTTGATTGCAAGATTGAATGTTCAAATTGGCGGTTTGTTCATTTTTAAAACTGCAAAGTCTCGGGAAAACCTAGCCTTGATGATTTTATTTATTTGTTTTGGATCACCAGACTCCCCAAAGATGTTCGTAACGATCAAACTGGCCAGTTTACAATTTAATCAAACAGGGACTATTATGTAGGTTTGTGATCTACATCACTCCTTGCTGATCAGTGCAACGGGGCCAATCGACTGCTGAGTCGATTATTTGATAATTTTTTATTTAGTATTTAATATTTATGAATTTAATGGGAGTCTATCCTCATGACCTTTTATCAACCCTAGCCTTCGACCGAGCACTCTGTTACCCCCATTTACGTTACACAATCAAACTCTCACTATTTAAAAATGTAATACTGTTCAAAAATTATTCTACACATGAAATACAAACGTTTTAAACAATAATACTGATGATGATAGAATCTGACTTTACATAGAATACAAAAATAATAATATCACAGACAAACATTGCTCTTTAAATTAATATACCATTTCAATTCAATTTAATAAATAATTTTCATTTGACTAGGTTTACTATTATAACTTAAATTCTTTGTATGACATGGCCAAATTTAATAAAACATTTTATCCTGAATCGTGACCATGTGCTCTAAGTAGACCAAATGAAACATGAAAATCTCAGACCAAACCAAACATGATTCATAACTTGTAAAACGAGTGGTACATGTGAAAAAATGTAGCAGATTGGCAAGACTATTTTAATACTAAAACACAAATAACACAAACATTTACTTACGTACACATGTCGACACATACACATTCATTCCAACGAAGATTCACGCGTACCGAACATTTAAAAACTGACTCGTGGTAATTTTGACTTTTTGTCTGACCGAGCGGAATATCACGACACGGTTTTTTCTGGTGTAGGACTTATTAATTCTTGTTTTTTCGAGCTGGCGTTTAATGATTCAATTGAAAATACCTTCACGACGACCCGCTGTTCGCTAGAAACTGACATTTGCTATCGATATGATGCATGTACGAATTTTCATCACGAACGCGAACAATCAATCCGGAATCTCAACTGTCTCGACTTAATACTAATAAAACACACCCCCAAATGCAATTCGGCGAAATTTTGACAATTGCGATCGTTTGATGCACGTACAATTTCCGCCCGAACGCTAATTTCCGAGCTACGAATTAAGATATTAATAAATTCGTCCTACACCAGCGACAAAACGCGACTTCACATGTTGACTACGCGATTACTGAGCCACGAGTGACGACGAGACGTTTGCACACGGCACGGCTCCCAACGGTCTTCCAGTTCGTATCCTTCCGCGTTACGTCATGTTGGACTGACTTGTCCATTGCCTGGCGCGGATTTTAAATCTTTGAATTTAAAAATCGGCACAGAAATTTTTGTAAAGAAAAATAAAAAAAACTCTTTACTTGTTACTTCATTTCATCAATCAAAATCACCTCACACCTTTATGTAATGCAATTTGGCTATTCCATACAGGTGTGAGTATAACAAAAAGTTGCCCCCTGGTGGGGTTTTAATGAATTTAATTTACACTTTTAATTGAACTACTGAGGACATTACAATCACAGAGCTGCGCAGTGGAAATAAAGATGTTAAGTGTGGGCCCTGTAATTAAATATCCCAGAAGTCCGATTTATGGACCGTGAGAGGTCTGATATGTTGTCCTCCTTCACACCTTCTTCAGCTTAATTCTAACACTTCTTAAAACTAATAGATGTGTCTATTTGATCACTCCATGAAATAAAATGTGCTGTTCTGATGAAAGATTGTGATATGAATTGATACTCTGTAAAACTGTAAAATTGCAAATAATAATATTGAAATATTGATTGAAAATATTTGTGAAACTGTTTGTTCAGGAAATATTTATCAAAAGTATGACTTCAAGATGTTTATATATACTGGATTCGGTTAAGCCGATTACTCATGAATTCACCAATTTAATATTAAATATTATGAACTGAGCTTATAAAAATTGCACTGTCAAAATATATTTACAAAATGTGATCATCAACACTCATTGTGAATACTTTGTATACCTCTTTCAGTTAAGCCATTTACCTCTTTACTTTACCAGTTTTATACTAATGATACTAACAGCTGAAACACAGGATAATGAAAAGATGGTGATTTGTAAAAATACTGTATAATGAGTTGAATTGAGCTGTGATACAAGTAACAAATATAAACAATATAATAACCTTTTTGTGCATAATTTAACGATATTTTGTAAGAGAGAGTGAGAGAGTTGATTGCAAGATTGAATGTTCAAATTGGCGGTTTGTTCATTTTTAAAACTGCAAAGTCTCGGGAAAACCTAGCCTTGATGATTTTATTTATTTGTTTTGGATCACCAGACTCCCCAAAGATGTTCGTAACGATCAAACTGGCCAGTTTACAATTTAATCAAACAGGGACTATTATGTAGGTTTGTGATCTACATCACTCCTTGCTGATCAGTGCAACGGGGCCAATCGACTGCTGAGTCGATTATTTGATAATTTTTTATTTAGTATTTAATATTTATGAATTTAATGGGAGTCTATCCTCATGACCTTTTATCAACCCTAGCCTTCGACCGAGCACTCTGTTACCCCCATTTACGTTACACAATCAAACTCTCACTATTTAAAAATGTAATACTGTTCAAAAATTATTCTACACATGAAATACAAACGTTTTAAACAATAATACTGATGATGATAG